AGTTGAAACTTTCCTAGCTATTTTTTTTTTTTTTTTTTGCTGGGGCTTCCGACATCTAGGTCATTTCAGCCACCACTAAGTCTATATTCTATACACGTTCATACAAATAAATACATTTATACACTTAAAACTAAACTAGATTGGGGTCGATGGGGTACTTTTATAAATATTCCGCCATCGACCCCGAACATACACTCACCCGCTTTCATCGTTCGAGGGGCGATGATGACGTTATATTCACCCTCACCCCTCGCCATTCACGCTAATAAATACATGCACACAGACAAAACATATAGACACATAACACATAAGACATACTATATACAATAAAAAAAAAACAATTTCCCCTAAAAAGCGGAACAGGGGACTCTGAAACTCGCTACCGTGCTCGAGGACTCTTCTTAAACCCGGCGGCATGCCTACACGCTCTCTGTATGGAGCCAAGGCATGACACGCCTCTATTATGTGTCTATTGTTACTTTTTAAAGTAATGAAAGGATATTAATAATGGTAATAAAAAATTATATTTTAAATAACGTTGTACAATTAACGTTGTGTTAGGTATGACAGTTTTAAAAGGTTAACGTGCCACAGTTATTAAAGAAGGCCGAAAACGAAAATGTATTTTCTCGGGTCTACCCTGTGTAATTTGACCATATAATAAACAATTACTAAAATTTTCTGAATTCAATTTGTTCCGTACACGATAGTTCAATTTATTTCGAAAAGAGATAATCATAGTAATTATGTAATAATGGTGCGCTAAGAGCAGGTGCCAGGTTGAATTCTCCTGTTTTATTTGAAGCCCTACGATCAACAGAATGTTAAAAAGAGGTATATGTTTAAAAATCAATACTTTAATAGGGCAATTGTCTTTCATTAAAAATATATGTATCAAAAGAAATAAATTAGTTATTTCTATTTTTCTCAATAAGCAAATTAGACTAAAATTAGCAAATATAATCTAGTAAATGTTTTTATATTACCAACAGTAACGTACAACTACCTGTTGGGTATCGCTCACGAGCGCCAAACAACGTTACACATTTTCATATTTTTTCACATTATATTTGATTAACAACCCATCAGCTAAGTCGGGATTCGAATACGACTCGGACCAATGTCCCACAGTGGTCACCTGAACTGATGATGTCCACAAAAAGATGAAAGTGGACTGGTGTCGCCAAAACCAAGATGGTCATTATTGATAAATCCGAGGATCGGACATTCTGGTATGAATATCTAGGAGTTTATATGTAGTGTACAGGGTGTCTTATTTAGCTGGCCCGGCTGAATTTCTCTTGAACCAACTCTTGAAGGACGCTATCAAAGAACAAAAAAATACATGTTTAACATTTTTTTAGTCTCGTTTCAAATTTTTACCTTTTTTGGAGAAAAATTGTACGGGGTACCTCAGGCCTAGTTCCACTTCAAAATTTCAAATACGACCCTACACATCCTAACAGATCATTTTAATGGATGTTTTACGTTGAAAACAATGGTGCAATCGGATTCCGAATTAGACAAAAAATGACATAGTTATGGTAAAAAGAAACCGGCAGGGTAATTTCGACGAGGTACTGAATATTTTACTGTATTCAATTAATTGGTCAAGAGGACCACGAAAAATAGTGAATTTAATTGATTCAAATGAAGTACACTTCACTAAAGCTCTCCGTGGCCATCTTATTTGTCGCCGAAAATCCAATCCGATTACACGACATTTGAAAAATGGCAAAAAGGAGGGAAAATTCAAAAGGTGGGGTTGAGATGGGAAGTTAGTGCCCGAGGGGATCGAAGTCACGATAGCTCAAGTGGTAGAGTAGCGGCGTATCAAGCCGAAGGTCGTGGGTTCGAATCCCGCTAGTGACACTGACTTTTTATCTCAACTTAAAAACCTTAATTAATTGAAAGTTATTAATTGGTCAAGCGGACCACGAAAAATAGTGAATTTTACTGTATGTTCACAAACATCCAAATTCCTCTGTCTCAAATGTTGGAAGGGTTTTAGGTTTAAAAAAAATTAATGATATACTCCGGACTTACAATTTTAAGCCGTATCGTTCTCATCTTGTCCAGGTACTTCGGGACTCTGTCAATGACAGACGTCTAACGTTCCTTGCACAAGTGACGATTGGGAAGCTGAAGAAATCGCTCTTCATACATGCTATGGACTGATGAATCCAAGTTCACCTCTATCTAATGGCATACAAAACCGTTGGAATTTTCAAACGTGAGCAGGGGAAAATCCGAGAATTTCGACTCTTGTCATCATCGGGTGGTTCACAGTATCAACGTTTGGAGTAGACTTCTCGGAAATAAATTTATAGGGGCCAAATTTCTACGATAATAATTTAAATGGTGCTCAGTTCCTCAATTTTTTGAGGTAAGTTTTACCACCCCTATTAGATGATGTTCCCCTGCAAATAATGATTCTCCAGCTTGATGGGTGCTCCGCATTTCTTTGAAGATGAATCGTCACTTCCGTGATAGGCACGATCTATCGGCCTCCTCGGTCACTCGTTTTAACTCCAATTGTCCATTTTCTTTTGGGCTATTTATAAAACAGTGCCTACACCAATCCTCAGGTGAAGAACAGCGGCAAAAGATAGAAAATGCTTGCCAATCCATCTCCCCTGACTCTATCGCTCTAAGCACCGGTTCAAAATAGCAAATCTTTGAATTTTTACGCAAGGCAGGCAGTACGAACATGAAATTTGAATAATAAATAGCTAACAAATTTTTGTCCAAACGTTTTGCCATAACCTTTTCATTTTTTGATTAACCTAAAATACGATTACACCATTGTTATCGGCGTAAAAAATTCTTTAATCCTTTTTAAAATGATAGTTCCTACTCACAGTAAGTTGTTTTGCAACGATCCGGATTTCGAGCTTTTTAGCTCATCATCAGGTTGAATGACTTCTACAACCACGTCTCTCGACATGAATTGCCAAAGTGAAACCGCTGGTACCTCCGCCAACGCGACGTTCCAATTATCAGCTGATTTTTTTAATGACGCTCAATTCGAACGTGCGAAACGCGGAAATTATAACACATATAAATAGTCCTTCAACCTGATGATGAGGTAAAAGGCTCGAAATCCGGATCGTTGCAAACAACTTACTGTGATTAGGAACTATCTTTTTAAAAAGGATTGAACACCACACTCACTCCATCATTTATCATTTCTATTATAAAAATCCGTTAATGTGATGTATTAGGATATATGGGGTCGGATTTGAAATTTAGAAGTTGAACTGGGCCTTCCAAAAAATATGGAACAACTTTTTTTTATATATAGCATCATTGGTTCAAGAGAAATTCAGCCGGGCCATTAAAGGACACCATGTACGGTATATAAAAATTTGTATTAATTTTCCTGATCTGTTCCTTTATTGCTCGCTGAAGGTACTCAACTTCTTTCATCATATGTTTTTCATATCGAATTGAACAGCATTTTTTTCCGATTTTAATATAGAAATCAACGTATGATATTCGTTATATACATTTCCAGTAAGAATTTTTTCTGTTCGTCGTTGAAAGCAAACAGACCGTTGGTGCTGCCATCTCTTCCTCAGAGCTATCCATTTCGTGAATACTACTGCGATATACTGTATGGCTGTAACGTTGCGACATACAGATGTGCACCTCACCAATATGCTATAAGGCATCGCGTGACGATGCGTCACGTCGTGTTGCGTTGCGTTGGATAAGTGTATCCGAGTAAGGTATTGGTTGAGATAAAAAAGTCAGCGTCACAAGGGGATTCGAACCCACAACCATCGGCTAAATACGCCGCCGCTCTACCACTTGAGCTAACGTGACCTCGATCCGCTCGGACACTAACTTCTCATCTCAACCCCACCTTTCGAATTTTCCCTCCTTTTGCCATTGTTCACAATGGAAAATTCGAAAGGTGGGGTTGATATGGGCAGTTAGTGTCCGAGTAGATCGAGGTCACGATAGCTCAAGTGGTAGAGCAGCGGCGTATTTAGCCGAAGGTTGTGGGTTCGAATCCCCTCGTGACATTGACTTTTTTATCTCAACTAAAAACCTTAATGAATTGAAAGTTATACTTATTATTTTGATAGTAGAAGTTTATGATCTAGAAAAATATATGTATCTGCCCTGTACAGAAATATCATGGCAACCAGATCAATTCAGCAAATCAGAATGCTCCCTTATTAATTTGGATAAAGATTGTCTTCGGTTTAATATTTTATAGATATTTGCGTAATTTAGCTGTGCAAAATAAATTCGCGTAAATTGCAATACTGCATTCATCTATCTGGAGAAGTTGTTGCAACTAAGAACTCTTGAACCTTCTTTACTTTTGTCTAGGTGAATGAATTATAACACTACTATGGCAAATCTTCCCACGATGGATTACGCAACCAATATGCGCTAAATGAGGGAAAGGCTATTCGAAAATGGACAAAGAAAATTAAACGACTCGCTCGTAAGAAAGAACGAAAAAATCGAACATCAAATTACCCTGGTAATGAGATACTCAGGGCCGTGAGACTCATTATATAAATAACCATTAAATCTGAGCCAGTTCAAATAATACACCTTGTTAGAGCGAGACATGACGAGATGGTAATTGCAAAACAAATAGCCTTCGCATTCTATTGGGCCTCTCCGCTCCATTGCCGTGGGAGAAGGGTGAGTAATGGGGTTGGAGAATTAAGGGCAATTTATACCATTTGTTTGTTATTAGTAATTATGACCCGGAGACCATGTTTGAAATGGGCTACACGTTATTACTCCGGGGTCTAAATTAAATCTGGATATGCTTGGATTTAATTTAATTTAATATTTCTGGCCACGAATAAGCAGTACTGGTTTAAGAGCTATCATATAATTATCAACATCGCAAAAAATTTTGGAAATATTTACGATCAAATTGCTCTCAATCGAGGTTCCTTTGTTGCTTAATGGGGTATAATAATAATTTAAATTTTTTAGACATGTAATATAACGTCATTTTGTTTCAGATTGATACAGATCCTAGTCAATCAGGTGTAGCGACGTCAGGGGTATAAGGAGGGTACGTCAATGATCTGGTTAGCTGTTAAGTGTAATACATCTATTCAGTAGATTTAAGCGGGGAACACACTTACCCGATGCTACCCGACGCAAATCCAAGTCCGATTTTCCATAAGATTGTATTACCCCCTGCACATCTGCCCAATGCCATAACACTACCCTACTCTAAGCTCTGCGAACACCACTGTCCAGATTTTCGTCGCGTAGCATCGAGTACAGTCGAAGACAAAAGAACCGGTTACTCGTATTTTTATTTTAAACTATATGAATTGTTGTCGTTATATTAATTACAGCAATTATTTTAATATAAACACAAATTAAGCGAGATCAAAAATTCATAATTTTTTATTTAAAAAAATTAATTTTAATGATTTGGCAGAAAATTGATCAAAAAACCAGAAATCATTTAGAATGAATTTAACTAACAATGTATTACATGGATTTGGTCGTGAAATTTAACTAAAATTTATTACACGATTTTGCATACAAAATTTAACTAACAATTTATTACATGGATTTGTTCATAAAATTTAACTAACAATTTATTACAAGGTTGTGCTCATAAAATTTAACTAATAATTTATTACATGGTTTTGTTCATAAAATTTAACTAACAATTTATTACATGGTTTTGCTCATAAAATGACACCATTTTCGTCGAGTAGCGTCAGAACCGGACACTCATATTTTCGTAGTTTATTTGGAACTATGTATATATAATTTTGTCGTTATATTAATTGTAACATACTTATTTTAATGTAAACCAAATTAAACGAGATGAAATATACATTAGTTTTTATGTTAAAAAAATAGTTTCAATTATTTGGCAGAAAAATCATCAAACCAACGGAATACCATTTATTGATAGAATAAATTTAACTAACAATTAATTACATGGATTTGGTCATAATTTAACCAAAATTTATTACACGATTTTGCTCATAAAATTTAACTAACAATTTATTTCATGGTTTTGTTTATAAAATGTAACTAACAATTTATTACATGGTTTTCTCATAAAATTACATCATTCTAGTTTGGTAGCGTCAAACCGGACACTCATATTTTTGTAGTTTATTTCAAACTAGTATTTGTCATTTTATCGTTACATTAATTACAACATTCATATTTTAATGCAAACCAAATTAAACAAGATCAAAAACTCATGAGCTGTTATAAAAATTATTTAATTATGATGATTAAGCAGAAAATATATCAAAGAGAGGAATAACTTTTAACAATAATAAATTTAAGAATAATAATTTAAAAATAATAAATTTAATGAACAATTTATTACATGGTTGTGCTCATAAAATTAACTAACAATTTATTACATGGTTTTGTTTATTAACTTTAACTAAAATTTATTACACGATTTTGCTCATAAAATTTAACTAACAATTTATTACATGGTTTTGTTCATAAAATTTAACCAACAATTTATTGCATGGGTTTGCTTATAAAATTATACTATTTTCGTCGAGTAGCATCAGAACCGGGCACTCATATTTTTTGTATTTTATTTCAAACTAAGTATATGTAATTTTGTCGTTATATTAATTATAACATACTTCTTTCAATTTAAACCAAATTAACCGAGATCAAAAATTCATTAGTTTTTATTAAAAAAAAATAAATAAATAACTTTAATGATTTGTTGGAAAATTAATCAAAACACCGGAATACCATTTATTGATATAATGAATTTATCTACAACATTCGTATTTTAAAGCAAACCAAATTAAACGAGATCAAAAATTCATAAGTTTTTATAAAAATTATTTAATTATGATGATTAAGCAGAAAATTTATCGAAACACCGGAATAACATGATTTAAAACAATTAAAATTAATTAACAATATATTACATGGTTGTGCTCATAAAATTTAAATAACAATTATTACAAGGTTTTTCTCAAAATAGTGCATTAAGAACAAAAGAGGCGTTGCGATTGTGAAAGTGATTTTTGTGATCCTCGCCATGTGACGGTTCGTGGCGTGCGCTTGATGTCGCATAGATGTGCACATCCTACCAAAAGAAGACAAGGCGTCGGGTTGCGTCGGGTAGCGTCGAGTAGTGTTGCAACAGGTAAGTGTGTTCCCCGCTTTAAATTGAGCATTAAATACAAACTATAAAAAAATGTACAGAAATCGACTATGGTCAGATAGGTAGAGCGACGTCAGGGGTGTGTTTGGCAATGTTGGCGTTGCAGTTCTTTTAATTTAAGTCCTCTTTGATAGGGAACGATTCTTCCAGGAAAACAAAACATATTCAGATAAAGTTAGCAAAATGTAAAGTAATTCCTGTTTTACGGGAGGGCTTAACGTCCAACTACCCTTAAGCCGGGAATACATCCGATGCTACGTCATGCGACGCTATCCGACGCCTTGCCACGTTTTGGCAGGGTGTGCACATCTATCCGACGTCAAGCGCGCGTCAATTACAGTCCACAGCGTGTGTCAAAAATCAGTATCACAGTCGCAACGCCTCTTTTGTTCTTAATGCATTATTTTGAGCAAAACCATGAAATAAATTGTTAGTTAAATTTAATCGTTTTAAATAAAGTTATTCCGGGGTTTTGATAAACTTTCTGCCTAACCATCATAATTAAATAATTTTTATAAAAACTAATGAATTTTTGATCTCGATTAATTTGGTTTATATTAACATGCGTATGTTGCAATTAATATAACAACAATATACACGTAGTTTGAATAAAAATATGAGTGTCCGGTTCTTTTGTCTTCGACTTTACTCGATGCAACCCGACGAAAATATGGACAGTGGGGATCGCAGAGCGTCGGGTAGGTTAGCCTGGCATAGCATCGGGTAGATGTGCACGGGGGTAATGCAACCTTATGGAAAATCGGAGTTTGGATTTGCGTCGGGTAGCATCGGGTAGATGTGCACGGGGGTAATGCAACCTTATGGAAAATCGGAGTTTGGATTTGCGTCGGGTATGTTCCCGGCTTTACGCGTCGTAGGCGAGGGCTAAACCCACTTTACAATTCTTCTTTCAAACTTTTTAACCATTTAACAACAAAAAAGCCGATGGGCTGTACCGGGATTCGAACCCTGGACCGACAATGGAGATAACACGATATTACCATCAAAACTACGCAATAAATTTAATCTATCACAGAATGATTTTCTGGTGTTTTGGTTTTATTTTATACGGCTATAAAATAATGCAGATTGCTATTGTATATTTCATATCTTCAACTTCTTTAAGTTAAATATTGAACAATGAAGTTTCAATTTAAGTACAGCTGATAACTCCTTGCGTTCCCTATTATTTTAACCTCATTAAACGGTCTGGAGTATAAATAATTAACATTGTAATCCAGTTTAGTTCTATGAAAAAGCTCGTTTATTACTTTTATTTTATTAGTTTATTTAAATTTTCTTTTCCGGTTGTCTCTAAACTTATGTTCTTCCACTGTCATATTTTACTGGTTACATACTTTTTCATAAATTACACCAAAAAATTTGTTGTACAGTTTGTTTATGTATGACCGTTAGAAACTTAGTCAGGAAATTTTAGTATTCTTAAGACATACACATGAAGAGAAAAAAGTAACCATCCTTAGTATTTTCAATGTTCTTTAGGCAATCTTCCATTGATTATCTTACAAAAACAATTGGTCCGTTTTAAAAGATTACAGGTAAATAAATTACAGATAAAATCTCTCGCATGTGTTTACAATTAGATTTTGTAATAGTCAATCTTTTCTTTGTGGGTTTTTTTGAAAGCTTCCTTCTAATGGTGGTGTTGTTTTTGTTTATGTTGTATCATTTTTAAGTTTCATATTTGTCTGAGTTCTGGTTTTACGTGTTACAGGTTCGTCTAGAATTGTTGGAAGTTGGAAGAAGTAAACCGTATGTGGCAGGGTGCTTAACATTCCCAGAACAACCGTCCGAAGGGTCTTCCATCGCTAGCAAGATACTGCAGGTTACTCAAGAAGGTCGCTTCACCTGAAACTTTGTAAATATTAAATGGTTATAATTGTTTATACAGTATGTTTTGGCCAGACAAAATAAGCCTTGAAACTGAACCTTTGACTCTTCTCCTAAACCTCTCCCTTCGTTCTGTCACCCAGTGCGAATCTACTGTGAATAAAAAAACCTCTTCTCTGCTCACCTCTCTCCTCTTTATTAAAAAACCTCTCCCATGAGCACTTCTTCACTTTTCCTTTAATATTTTCCAAATTTCCCATCCTGTTTTTTCACTTCCTGAACCATAGGCCGTTCGACGGCGTTGCAACCCCAACCTCACTACGACCCTTCAGTGAGTGATTCCTTTTTCTTTTTTTTGTACAGACCACGCTAAATCGTTTTTTCTTTATATCCGTTTTATTTTACTTTATTTTTGTATCCAGCTAAAACACAGCATAACACAATTCCCTGATATAATAAAAACTTAGCAATTATTATATTTATCTTCTGCTCATATTGAATGTGAAAGCAATGCTATTATAATTATTACTCTTTGCGTAATTATGTTTACATATTTGAAGAGTAAATGTAATTTTCAGAAGTAGAAGGTTCGTTAGAATGGTAATAACTATAGATTAAATGCGGTTTAATGATAATATTTATGAAGCAATGAGTTGTAAATTAAAAATTTCTCCTTTCCATGAATATCGCAAATACAGTTTGGATAACAACAATCAATATTTGATTAACATTTAATCATAACCTTTATGAAATGTTGCCGTTAATTTAAAATTTGATATCGGCAATTCTCTTTTGATCAGAAGGGGCGGTCATTTTCCAGGAGTAGATAATTAGGTCACAATGTAATGATTGGAATATTTTATAAAGTTAAGTAAGTTAAGTATGTTTTCCGAGGAAATGAATTGTCTTTATGATAATATATTCAGACAATATTTGTCATAGACGACGAAAACCTTTGTCGTGTAAAGTGCGCCTCCTATTGAAAGTTCCCAGGAGTCCGTCGGATTCATCATATTAATGTAATAACGGCTACCGGGGCGTCGGTGGCCGAAACGGTACTTGTTGACACGGCGCTCATCACTGTAAGGTAAAGGTCCCGGGTTCGAATCCAGCGGCCCAGCATTCGAACCCGACATACATACAAACGGTTTTTTTTTTAAACACCGGCACCCCGAGGGTTGATTTAACCTCTCGTTTAAACCCTCGTTTAAAAGAAAAGAAAAAAAAGGCATGCTATAGTTTATATTGTTTATATGTATATTATAATTTTTATTTGTAGCGTCGAAGAATGCAGTTGTTAAAAAAGAAATTTTTTTAAAAATCCATTATTCTTAAAACTGATTTTTTTTCTCTAAAATCTTTGTTATTCATCATTTACACGAGATCCCTTGCTACTACGAATTATTGGGATTGCACTATATAGCACAAAAAATGGTTGTGTTAAGGTCAGCGAGGTAATGAATTTAAGGATCGCCTCGAATCCTGGTCCGCATCTTCTCGCTGATTTCGTTTGTCCAACACATTTCACAATAAGTCGCTACCCCTGTGATATATATATATATATATATATATATATATAATAAATATACAATCAGAAACATTGAGGAATAAAACAAACGAGATAGAGAATTTACTAGATACTAGTCTCCGTCGCGTTTTTATGCCTTTTTGAAATGGGACTTTTCACTTTTTACGGTCTGGTGTGAACAGGGCAAGTAACGAAGTACGGCAGAGCCCTCGTTATCCCAGACAATTTTGAGGTGAAACCTACCAGCTTCCCAATGATCAATCATTCGATCTAATTTGCCCTTCGCCTTTTCGCCTAAGTAATGATCTCGTTTGCGGAAGAGGGCCTCGTTAACTTCCACAGCTCAAATCGCATTCCGAACTCTTTTAGAAAATTAAACGCACTTAACTTTCCTTCCACCGGGTCGTTTCTAGGCCTGAGATTACATAGGCATCGCTTCCGAAGCCCGTAATAAAACCCCTTCATCAACTATCTCGATTTACGCAACGACGGTGAAATTGTTCTGAAACAATAGGACAAAAATGTTAGAGATAAACAAATTTCCAATAATTGAAAACGGCGTTATATTCCGAGTGTGATTTCAAACCGATAATCGTAACTGAATAACGAATCAGGGTGGAGTGAATTATAAATTGTATAATTTGTACACAACCAACAACCGGGGAGAAACGTAAATCTGATCGTTCGCCCATCATTATTTCAAGCGTTTAGCTCGATTTTCCACCCCGTGTTTGTTTTCTGTTAATTAATTTATAACTGATAAGGCGATTACGTAATAGGCCAAAGCAAACATTTCCCCTCGCTGGGGAAACAGCAATGTTTGAGCGGTCGTCGGGAAAATAGAATTTTCAGAGATTTCAAGCGAAATTACATAATTTGTGTATCGTTTGGCCTCATTTTCAAACACGTTCCGTTCGAAAATTAAATTATTATTGTTCAAAGTGAGAACTGATGAAGTTTAAAAACCTAACGCCGATTGTAATTTTATCTATTAATAATCAAATCAAAAATCTGTTTTTAAACCTTGACCCAAATACAATTTACATATTAATACAATTTCAGTCGAGATATGTTATATGTAACATGATATATAACAAAAATCGCTAGTGTGTTTAAGTGTAAAGTTATGCTCAAATAGCGCTGTTGTTGTTGTTATTGTTCAAAGTGAGAATTGATGAAGTTTAAAAACCTAACGCAGATTGTAATTTTAACTTTTAATAATCATATCAAAAATCTGTTTTTAAACCTTAACCCCAATACAATTTACATATTAATACCATTTCAGTCGAGATATGTTATATGTAGAATGATATATAACAAAAATCACTAGTGTGTTTAAGTGTAAAGTTATGCTCAAATATCTCTGTTGTTGTTATTGTTCAAAGTGAGAATTGATGAATTTTAAAAACCTAATGCAGATTGTAATTTTAACTTTTAATAATCAGATCAAAAATCTGTTTTTAAACCTTAACCCAAATACAATTTACAAATTATTACAATTTCAGTCGAGATATGTTATATGTAACATGATATATAACAGAAATCACTGGTTGTTTAAGGGTAAAGTTATGCTGAAATTTTATTTAAAAAAATGTTATTGAACTGAAATGTTATTATTCTTCAAAGTGAGAACTGATTAAGTTTAATAACATAACGCAGATTGTATCTTTTAAAAACTTTTAAACTTTTAAGAATTAGTTCGAATATCTGTTTTTAAATTTAACCTAAATACAATTTACACATTAATGTGTGGTGTTTAGTGACAGTTAGTTAATGAATATTTGGAGATCGTGAGATGCGGTCTGGGGTGACGCTGGTTTTAGAAAAACATTTTCTTTATCGTGCCAACGTTTCGATCTTTATTGAGATCATCTTCAGTGCCTGGGCTTGGTTAAATTTTATAAATACATGTAGGATGTGAACAAATGAATTTACACAATGCTAGCATTTTGGATTCAATGAAAGTATGAAATCATTTTTTTATCTAAAATTTTCTAGCATTGTATAAATTCATTTTTTTACATCCTACATGTATTTGTAAAATTTAAATAACGTTTATAAATCCCAGGCCCTGAAGATGATGTCAATAAAGATCGAAACGTTGGCTCTATAAAGAAAATGTTTTTCTAAAACGTCACACAGACCGCACCTCACGATCTCCGAATAATTACACATTAATACAGTAATAAGTGTAAATTTATGCTCAAATTTCTCTTGGAATGAAACTCTTTATAATTTGATTAATAATAAATTCTCCTTGGACAAATTGAGGATAAAGAAGGAAAGGCCACCATCTGCTAGATTTTGAGTCTCGCGGGTATGGATGGAAATGAAAGAGTTGATCTGTCAAGAGAGCTGCAAACCGGCCGCAACTGCCATTTAGACCAGCAGATGACAAGAAAAGGGTTAGTTGGGAAAATTGGCTATCTTGCTGGATGACTGGCATCGAAAACCTAAAACTATAAAGTGCATTGTTAAATCGATGGCCATGAAAGTCTTAAGAAAAAGGAAAAATGCTCTTAAACCTGAGGATTGGTCATGCACGGTTAATCCAAAGGCACCTCCTTATTGGAAAACACCTAGGTGATCTCCACAAAGTGTTTTTCTGTTGCACATAGGTCCTGCATTAGGGTGTGACTGTATTTATTAGTGAGAATGGTCGAGCGTATGTTGAGGAGTCTGTGATATTAATGTTAAATCACTGACCTACCAAAGTAGTCTGGGCTATATTAGTAACGTATGTTGGTAGTATGGTAGGAACAGTTATGGCACTATATGAACAGTTATACAATATCAACTCCCGTTGTCTGAATGTATTTACTGATTGATTACTGATTTATATCAACTCAAATCTGCGCACGCAGTACATACACCGTGTAAGAAGTTGAATATATCAGCTCTCGCAGCTGGCCGGCAATTTCAGCTTTTGTGCAATTAAAAATAATTACCTACAGTGAACGAGGATCACAGAATCCGGGGAATAAAAGTTACGAACCCCCTTCCGCTCTCCCAGCAAAAGTTTGTTCTTAATGTTTTTATTTGTTTTGGGGGGGGGGTGTTCTTGGTGGAATTTAAGTACTCCCATTCATTCAATCACCCTTTACACCTACAATAAACCTAATTGAGGAAGGATTGGGTACTCAATATTACGCCATCGACTCTCTCACACCACACATTCACGCTAATAACTGCATTCCCTCTCAACATACTATGGGATACAAAAATGTCAGTACTATAAAAATGATATATTTCACGATTTTGCGTGTCATTCTTGCGCAGGGCTATGCTAATATAATTCTATTTGAAGTAGTTAATTTTTTGTTAAAATATGATATATTTATTGTATGGCAGAGATTTAAACTTTAACAGTGGTTGGCTGATGGTATGGTTATTTATCACCTCAGACGGACGACTAAATTTTACATTGTGTTTAATGTAAAATTTACGAAA